AACTACTTAGCAATAACCACACAGTGGGGTGTGAGTGCACCCGGGGAGGGCAGGAGCCGGACAGACCTTTGGCCAGACTGTTTCAAACAAAACCAAAAACCATCCTCTGCTGCTGTGTTTCTGTAGAAAGCAACTTCTTTTGACTTTTTTTTTTAAGGAGAAGAAACAAACAAAACGACCCCATTGAGCAAAAACATTTTAAAAAATGATTTTTTTTTTCTTCCTATGATTCTTTCTCCTTCCTCTCTACTTTTGGAGAATGAACTTAACATCCCGGCTTCTTTTGTTAAGCCATAGCTGACCTTAATCTGTGGTTAGTTTATTAAAATAAGAAAAAAAATACTTTGTAAGAAGACATATTTTTGATAATAGGATTGATGTTGAAACACGGGGGTAGGGGTTAGGGGCAATTTATAAAAAGGTAGTTAGAGAAATACTATTTTAGTGAACTGTAACCACAGATCACAGATTACTCCCAATGAGCTGATCTGTCTTTGGGTTTCACCCTTTCCCTGACTCAGCCCTTTTCCCCAGAGGGTGGGAATGGGCCTATGGACACAGAAGGGGGAGCTCCTTTGCATTTTGCACAAAGCACAAGTCTGGACAGCCTTTACTCTGGCCAGCACCATTTCTAAGAGCTTTAAACTGGAGGACCTATCCTGGGCCGATTTTCCTTTTTCTTTCTTTTTTTTTTTCTGGGGAAAAAAAAACTATGCAATTGTATACACTCCTGGGTGCATATGAAGAAGGGGAATAAGTGTACTTAAGTGTCCGGAGTGTTTATTGGGGCTGTTTTTCTGTATGTGGATTTCTCTTTTGAGGTATGTACTCCTAACCCATCTCATGGAATGGCATCCCCACATTTGCTCTAAACCGGATGTGGGCTGGGTGTGTGTGTATGTGTTTTGGGGACCTGTAATTGCCATATATTGCTTCTGCCCAATCAGGAAAGTTGTCATCCCATGTCCCCCAAGACTGTCCTCTTCATTGGAACTGCTCAGAGTTTAGAAAGATTCCTCTTTCTTCAGCAGACTTGAAAGTCACTCATTTTTCAAGTCTGATAGTCTGTTGATTTAATCATTTCATATGGCTATTAATTCTTAGGCTTTTATTTGAAAATAGAATGGTTTTCAGGAAGCACTGGGGTCAAAGGAGATAGATTCCAAAGGAGGGGATGTACATATTTTTGGCCAGGGCTGGGACTACTACAAGATGAGTACTCCCCTTGGTATAGAACTTTAAGGGGTACTGAAAAACTCAGTGATTAAGATAAATACCATGTTAATGCAGTATTTAAAATACAATACAAGAAAACTCCATGATGAATAAAATATCAAAATCTTAAAGAAGGATCCAATAGGATTGAGATTAAGGTGAGGGAAATAAGCTGAATTGAGCAAGTATGGGGTTGAATCCTGTCCTTAAAATTTTGATACTTAGTTCATTGTGGATATTTTACATTGGTTTTGATGTTCAAAAAATACTGCATTAAGATAGTATGTTGGTTACTGAGTTTTGGGGCACCCCTTAAATTTTGTGCCCGAGGTGAGAGCCTTGCTCACCTCACCCTGTCTCTGGGGCTAGAACAGCACTAGTGAGACCATCACCTTGTGAACCTCCATCCCCTAAGTGCGCCCAAGCAACAGGTGGCTCCAGCTCACACCCGGCACAGCTCACCTAGCTTTCCCGGAGGCGCCCATCTCCAGCATAGGATTCTGGCCTGGACCGATAGGAATGGAAACAGACCAGGGGTTTTCCCAGAGAGTAAAGCCAGGAAAGTTTTAATTCTCCATTGGACTGCTGTGTTTGGATTTGATTTGTTATTAGATTCTAGCTAATACTTTTGTTTTTAAAAACTGAGGACAAATGAACAAAAACAGAAACCTGGTGTCATGTTTGTTTTTGTTTTGATTTATAAACTAACCAATCCCAATTTATTTGACCTCTTTTCAAATAAAAAAGGTAGAAATTCTGGGGGTTGCTTAGGAGTGAATATGATAAAATAGGACTTTATTTAGGCCCTGTTAGCTTTTTATTCAGAAATAAATTATTTTTGTTTAATTTGGGAAGGTAACTATATATTGAGGCATTAAAAAAAAATTCTCCATTCTAAGGATGACGGGCCCTGAGTCAATGGATGTTTTTCAGTAGGGATGAGTAAAGACTGTTTTGCTTTATTCTTTGAGGGGTTTGTGTGGGATGGAGGGTGAAGGAATAATGCCTGGGAAATGAAAACAGACTCTGGTTGGTTTGTGGTATTTTGGGAAGATGAGGGGGTGGAAGAGGCAAGCCCATGCAGTTACTGTGCTGGGAGAGGGGAGGAGAAGGAGACGTGACGTGCACCCAAAATGAGCAAAAATTCCTTGGTTAAGGAGGGGTATGTGGCTGAAGGGGGAGGCAGGTCCTGTCAGCCTGGCTGAGGGATGGGATCTCTCAGGCTTAAATAAGTGCACTTAGTTCTTTTAATCCAGGGCATTGGGGTACCTACTGAGGTTTTTATTGGAGAGGGGAAATATTTGGGGTTCTTATTTTTCCCCCGTTAAGACAGTGCTACCCCTCCACCCTACATTCTCCACCCCAGCCTTGATGGAGCAAGTATACTATAGGATAGGTCTCCAAATTCCTACCTTAATCTGTGTTGTTTTATTGGGAGTTACAAGATTTAATCAAAAGTTTTTCCCTCATACTGGATCCTATCAACAAAATAAAAAGATTATATCAAAACTTTTTTTTTTTTTTTAAAGATTCAGTCTCTTTATGGAGTGGGGATGGTGTGAAACTTGGTGCTGACAGGGCCTGGAGGGAAGTACTCTCCCACTCTTGGCTCGTTTCTTCTCAAGCACAACTAAAGCTTACAGACCAATAAAACAAAAGTTAGCAATGACTTCAAATCGTGTATTTGGGAAGTGATACAGAGGCAGAAAAAAATGGAACTGGTTCCGAATGGTCTCCTTTCTGAACAGCCGCACACATCCAAGGTTCCAGTCACATTTGTCTTTCCCATTAAGGCGCTTCAGTGATGGCTGTCCCCTCAGACACCAGTCGTCTTCTTCAAGCAGTCAGTGCCCCAGGCACAGATGAGAAGACAGACTTGGAAGCCCCTTCCTGGCCTGGAATCACCTGCATCTCAGATTTTTCTAATTTCTTTTTCCCTCCAGGACCTTCAACTGCAGATTCAGTGAGTCAGACAGGCACTCCTGTCTCTTTCACTTTGTTGATACCCAGCCTGCAGATAGCAGGGTGTTTTGCCCTGTACTTAAGTAGCTTAACAAAATATTTATTATGACGTCCTCATGTAGACTTTATCCATGCCACCGCCCTTCACTGGCCACGTGGGTTTGGGGGGTTAGGAAAGAGGAACGGAAGCTGGCCGAAGGTAACCGGAGAGCGGTGGGGGGTGGGGAGGACGTTGGCCTCTTTCCCGGCTTATAACTGGATCTGTGACTCATCTTGTGAGTCACTCAGCTCCACCCCCCTCCTCCAGCTGCCCCTCCCAGCAGCCTTCACTCTTGGCACAAACCTGCAACCAGACCAGGATTCTGAAAATGGAAAAATCTGATACAGCCCCTTGCTTCTGCATCCTTCCTTTCATCCACTAAAACCTCCACTGGTGTGGGGGGTACTGAGAGGTGGTCCTATTAGCCCTTGGCTGTTGCCCCTTTGCATTCCCCGTGCTCAGCCAAGTCACCCACTTTTTTCTGCCTTCCACCTCCCCCCATTCCCCTGATGTTTTTTTTCCTCTGGATGCCTCTGCTGCTGCTATACCTCAAAATATTAAGAATAGAATGAGGCTCTTGAATGAAGGGTAGTGGGGAGAGGGAAAATGGAGAATGGGATTTTAAAATTGTGGAACACAGCTCTTCCTACTGCAAGAGACCTTGGGAAATATTTCTTCCCCCAAGAGATTGAGGCCCATGGAAAGTAGGTGGGGTTGGGGGTGCTTGGGAGCTTTTAGGACTTCTAGAATAAGGCTTCTGGGCCACCTTCCTAGCAGGTGTATGCCTCTTTGTTCCAAATTAACTTCCTGTCTCACAATATCTTCATTATTTCCACAATATCAGCCAAGACAGGGAACTTTTACAGCCGAGGCCGGAAGGGTGTTTGTGCTGAGGGAAGAGAGAGTTGAGTGTCACTTTGGAAAACTGGGGCCCCCACCTAAGGTCTGCTGCCTCTGTACAGACTCAAAATCAATAAAACAGCAGCTCATTAACCCTTATTTTGTATTTCATTTCTTTCTCGCATCTAAATGCAGACTTTTGCTTCCTATCCAGGCGCCATCAACTGCAGTTCCTTTATTTCCCTCCTAGGGTCCTCCCCACCCACCTCTGCTCTGCTCCTCAGGTTGCAGGGGGGATGGTGGGGGATGGGGCTGTTGAACTGATAGAGGTTTCCAGCCCTCAGCTTTGAAGGTCCTGAACATGAATCATTAATTTGGAGATCTGGTGTCTGGGTTGGAGGGAGGGGTCATGTACCTGGAATGGGCTCTGGTTTCCCACTGGTTGTGTGTGTGTGTGTGTGTGTGTGTGTGTGTGTGTGTGTGTTGGATTAAGTAGTAAGATCTCTTCCTTGGGCCTCCCTCCACCCCCAGAACTTGCACATAAACCTGACTTGTCTGCATCCTGGATATATTTCAATTTCTCCCTCCAGTGTTCTCAGGGCACCCTCCACGTGAGGTATGTTTCATGCTCTCTGAAGAACGATGTACAAAATGCTTTAACTCCCCTCCCTCATTTCTTGGGCCTCCCCAGGCAAAAATCCCCCGAGGCCCATTTCCTACTACTTTTGTCAGGTGTGTCAGGGGAGGCCACAAGGAAGTCTAAACTGCTTTTGCATTCCTCCCACCGCACCACCCTCTTTAAGAAGACAAAAAAAAACCGGAGCCCAAATTATTCTGGGTTAATACTCGGTATTACTGTTCCCTCAAATAATTTCCAGTGCTTGTGAACAGAAAGAGCATAGGATCTGGGATTGGGGAAAGAATCTGGATATATTTTTTTCCCGTTACCCATTTTTTCCTCACCTTTTCCAGGCTCCTCCACTTTTTCGAAACTGTGTGTATTCCCCTTTAAGGGGCTGGGCATCTCTCCCGCCCTCTCCAGAGTCGACTGAAGTTTCCGAGGAGCCTCCTCTAGCTGGGTTGGACACACCTTTCAAAGACCCCTAATCGTGCTCCGTGCACCTCAAACGCTCCTTTCCCTGGTGCTGTCCCCTGCCCCTCTCCCTGACTTCCTTCTCAACTACAAGATTCAGCCTCTCCCTAAGGGGCTTGAGCATCCTCAAGGTTTCCCACCCTTCACTGCTCCGTCCCCGGATGGAGCCAGAGAAATGTGGTGGGGGGGTCGGGGCCAGAGTTTCAACATCGCCCCCCAGAAGGCGGAGCCAGACATGGGGGTAAGGAGAGGACACTTGGGCTTGGGAGGGAAGGGCACCGTGGGCAGGAGGGTGTGAATGAGGAGGATATGGAGATAAAAGAGGGGCTAGGAAAGGAGCTCGAAGAGGAGGAGGGTGTGTCCCATATCCACTTCGCTTGATGGAGCTTGGTCTGTCTTTTTCACAGTCTCAAGTTCATTGTCTCATTATCCATTAACCAGCCCCTCCTTTTACTGTCTGCCAACTGGGTCCTAAGCTCCCCACAGCCGCTGATCTCAGTTTCCCCTGAGAGTCTGAGTGTAGGCCTCCAATGGTGGCTGCTGAGGTAATCCCAGATCGGGGGTTGGAGAGGCCTGGGGATTAACTTTACACCCTTCACAGCTCTCTGGACCAAAGTCTGTCCAGAGGACTGGGATGCTGGAGTCCAGGAGTTGTCAGCTTGGCAGTCACCTGGCCTCGGGATGCCTCCCAGGTAATAACTTCCCTTCCAATACTTCCAATCTCCAAAGACTCTTCCAAATTTCATCCTGCTCAAACTTTGCTTCAAACCTCACCAAAGATACCTCTGTATTCCTCTGCTTGCTTAAAGTGCTTCTGTCTGAGGCTTGCTCTCTTCTCTGTCAGAGCTGGCTAGGAGCCGGGACCTTGATGGTCCCTCTTTTCCTGACTCTCTTACTCCCTTTTCTCATTTACTTATTCAAGAGGTATTTGAGTGCCTACTCTGTGCCAGGCACTGTTCCAAGCTCTAGAGTAAAAGAATACAAATGATCTCCTCCTAAGCTTTTGTTCTAGTGGAGTTAGGGGAGGATTTTCTTTATTTCTTTTTTAATTTTATTTATTTATTTCAGAGAGAGAGAGAGAATGAGAGATAGAAAGCACGAGAGGGAAGAGGGTCAGAGGGAGAAGCAGACTCCCCGCCGAGCAGGGAGCCCGATGTGGGACTCGATCCCGGGACTCCAGGATCATGACCTGAGCCGAAGGCAGTCGCTTAACCAACTGAGCCACCCAGGCGCCCTAGGAGAGGATTTTAATCTTCCCTCTTTACATCCTCCTGTCTCAGAGGAGTAGGTGTATACCAGTGTGGGTGACACTGGGAATAGTCATAACCTGGCTTTCCCCCTTCCCCTGTAGGGGAGCAGATCCTAGCATGGGCCCCAGGGGTGAGGAAGGGGCTGGAACCTGAATTGCCTGGAACCCTGATCTGCACCAACTTGAGGGTCACCTTCCAGCCCTGTGGATGGCAACGGAGTCAGGTGAGATGGTGAGGGCAATGGAGAGGACAGTTAGTGAGAAATGGATTGGGGAGAGTAGAAGGATTTAGACAAGTGAGACAGGGAGAGTTATGCTTAAGGGGTTGTCGGGATTATCTCCAGGGAGGTTAGGGATTGCCAAGGTAGGGCAATGAGCAAGATTTCAGATGTCTTTAGCATCAGTCATGTGCTTCCTCTAGGAGACTCCCCTGAGCAGTGAATATGATTTTGTCTTGGTCAACATTGGGCGATTAGAGGCTGGTGAGTGGGCGGGGGGTGTGGTGGGGGGTGAGGTGTTGGTGAAGGGGCTTACCGGGGGGCTCACCCTTCCTCATCCTTCCTCTATTCTCAGAGGGCAGCAGGGATGGAGGGGGGTGGGCTGGAAGACTTCCTTGTAGAGGGACCCTGATCCATGGCTGCACTGCTTTCTAACTCTTGACTTCAGTGAGTGGCCTGTCCAGAGTCCAGCTCCTCCGTCCAGGGTCCCCACTTAAATTTACCCCTGAGGAGATCCTCATTCATGGCCGAGACTTCCGGCTGCTCAGAGTTGCTTTTGAGGCTGGAGGACTAGAGCCTCAGGCCTTTCAGGTAAGAGGCCTTCAACCCAAAGATGACTTCTCCCCTTAGAGCCTTAGGATCCTTTCCTTGGCATTCCTACTACTCCCCGATCTCCTAGGACCCCTCTCGTCCTTCTGTCTGCTTCTCTCCTCAAGGAGAGGCTAAAAGGCTGGGATAAAGGACAGTATAATGAGAGTAAGGGGCCTGAATTCTAGCCTGGCACTGCCGATTACCAGGAGTGTGACAGCAGGCAAGTTTCTTCCTTTGAGAAGCAGGGAGGGCTGGATGAGATTGTTCCAGAGATTCCTCGCAGAATTGACATTCTGTGATTCTGTGGTTCTGGATATGTTCTCCTGACCCCAGTCCCCACCACCTGTGGAAGCTCCCTTCCTTAGGGACTGTCTTCTCTCTTCTCTGTTGGTGGCAAAGACAGTTGAACAACACATGGGTCCCATGTCCTCCTCTTCACTTCTTCAGTCTGAGCCAAAAGGCTGGGATGCCCTCTCCTCCACAGGTGACCATGGCCATTGTCCGAGCCAGAGCTCAGAGCAGTCAAGCCCAACAGTATGCAGGGATATCCCTGAGCAAGGCTGGTGAGTGAGGGTGCTTTAGGGTAGGGAAAGGGTAAAGAATCTGAAAGAGCAGAGGCTGGCTGAAGACAGTAGAGCTGAGACGCTCTCTCTGGTTCCTCTTCCTTTTTTTTCTGTGCTTCATTCCTGCCCTAGGCCAGAGTTCAGGGCCCAGAAAACCACCTATTCCCCTCTTGGAGACATCAGAAGACTGGGAGACTGAGCGGAAAAAGCAGGGGGCCGGGAGCTGGAGGGTCAGTCCTGTCAATGAGAGGTTCGACGTAGCCACCAGGTGATCCCTCAGGCCACCCCAACCCCCGCTGCCCTCCCAATCTTCCCACAGTTCTCAGATCCTCTAAAGCGAGGACTGCCCACAAACTCTAGCCTCTTACGGTATCCACAAAGCTATCCCCCTTACTGCCTAGATCTCTAAACCTGAGGTCCCTTGAAATAATCCCCTCCCAAGTGACTTCCTTGTAATGACAGGTCTGCATTATAATGAGTTCACTGAGCCAAGCTGTGACTGTAACTCTCAATTTCACAGCCTCCCCCGTTACTTCTGGGTCCCTAAGCGAACTTTGGACAGTGAGGTCAGGAGAGCATTTGGCCACTTCCATCAGGGCCGTGGACCGGTCAGTGTGGGGGGGCCAGGGTGATGGTTGGGGATTAGATGGTTATGGGAGGTCGGGGGGTGTGGTCATTGCGGAGGGAGATCAGGGTGGGGGCAGGATAGGGTGGGGCTAGCAGGTTCTCCCACGGTGATCCTAACCTCCCACCATCTGAAGCGCCTGTCCTGGCATCACCCTGGGGGCAGTGATCTTCTCCGCTGTGGTGGCTTCTATACAGCCAGCGACCCTAACAAGGAGGATATCAGGTGAGGGGAGGTTTGATGAGTAGAATCAAGGGTTGGAGGTTCAGGACAGACTTGTTCCCTTACCTTGTGGCTTCTTCCCCTCCAGAGCAGTGGAGTCAATGCTCCAGGCTGGGCATTCAGATGTTGTCCTGGTGGACACTGTGGATGAGCTGCCTAGTCTTACAGATGTCCAACTTGCCCACTTGAAGCTGAGGGCCCTCTGCCTGCCTGGTGAGATAACCTCTGACCCCTACCCCCACGCCTAGGTCTGCCGACCCTAACCTGGTTTACCCTTTTGCCTGTTACAGTATGAGTAACCCTTCAGGCCAAAGATCCACAGTTTTCTGTTCAACTCCCATCTCCCACAGACTCACTGATTTCCTGTCTTCCTGTCCCCAGTGTATTCTTTTTTTTTTCCCAAACAGCTTTATTGAGATACAATTTACATACCATAAAATCCACCCTTCACCCATCTTAAGTGTTCAGTGAATTTTATTACATTTACAAGGTTGACAACTGTCACTGCAATTATAATTGTAGTAACCTCATGGCCATTTATGGTTACTGTTCATTTCTATCCCCAGGCGTGGGTAACCACTACCCAACTTATTCTTAACCCTCAGGCTGCAAACCCCGAATCGTGAATCCTGAGTTCTCCTCATCTCTTTGTCCTTCTGACCGCTCTACTCTCTCTCAGATTCATCTGCGGCCGAGGAGAAATGGCTCTCAGCCCTGGAAGGAACACGATGGTTGGATTATGTCAGGTACTCCCTCATTTTCTAGCTATGAGTTATATAAAATTCAACCCTCCCCAACCTTCTGTTAACTTGAATTCCTAAATAGCCTTCCATTAACTCTTCTCTTTGGTTTCCCAAGAAGACTCTTATTTGCTGCTCCTTAGAAGGAGAATGGGCAGAACTTTGGAGTCTGCCTCTTTTCCATTCCATGACCCATTACTCCCTTCTTCCAGGCTTATCATTCTTCTCTCCTCTTCCTCATCTGCCCCCTCAGGTCTTGTCTTCGAAAGGCCAGTGACATCTCAGTCTTAGTGACATCCAGGGTTCGCTCTGTAGTACTCCAAGGTGAGGTTCTTGGGTTAACCTACTCCATTCCTTCCTTTTTTCTTTACCCACCCAACTGGGAGGAAGATCTCGAAGTCTTCCTTGCCCCCGTCTAGTACTGGGATCCTCCTCTCCTGTAACTAGGAACTACCCATGGGCCCCACTCATCCTTCAGTGCCACCCCTGCCTCCCAGTAGTAGTAGTACTACTACTAGCTGTAGTGTTACTACAGCTTGTGGTCCCTAACAGCAGGGTTCTTCACCTTCTGTTCCCATCCTTCCATCAATAGATGGTGACTGGGTTGGAGTGGGAAGGACAGTGTGGAAGCTGGGTTGAGATTTATGATTTTGCCTCCTACACGTGAAGCTGGGTATTACTATCCAGGTGGAGTCTGTGAACTGAATCATTCAAGGTCTTTATTTTCTTTTCACTTCTATTTGCCCTCTCTCAATCCTACCTAACCAAAACTTTCCTCCTCTGTGTCCCTCTCTTCTTCTTGCTACGTTTCCTTTTCCCATTTTCTTCTGCCCTAGTTTCTTGGCCCCTCCTTCTTTGTCCCTTCTCCCTCTTTGTCACCCAGAGCGCGGTGATCGTGATTTCAATGGCCTCCTCTCTTCACTCGTCCAGCTGCTTTCAGCCCCTGAAGCCCGAACACTGCTTGGCTTCCAATCACTAGTGCAGCGAGAGTGGGTGGCAGCCGGACATCCCTTCCTGACCCGACTTGGGGTAACTGGAGCCAGTGAAGAGGTAAGGTCATTTTGGGAGGGTATTGGGGGGAGATTATTACTAAGGATGTAAGGGGATGAGAAAACTATATAGTATAATCCACTGGAAGTAAAACTGGGTTAGAAGGATCCTGAAATTAGGTTAGGTTTGAAGGGAGACCTAGGTGAATGAGGCACCACAACCCCCTACTGCCCTCAATCCAGATTTCCATTCCCTGACTTTAGTGGCCCTGTTGGCTGTGTCCCTTGTCCCCCATCATTTTGTCATCCTCCCCCTTTAGGTGCCTACAATCCCTTCTAACCTCTCACTTTCCCTCTCCTCAGGCTCCAGTGTTTCTCCTCTTCCTTGATTGTGTCTGGCAGCTCCTCCAGCAGTTTCCAGCTGAGTTTGAATTCTCAGAGTTTTTCCTTCTTGCTCTTCATGACAGTGCCAGGGTTCCTGACACTCTCACATTCTTGAGAGATACTCCCTGGGAGCGTGGAAAGCAGAGTGGACAGGTCAGTGACTTCCGTTTTTGAGCTGCCTTTTCTTCTCCTTGAGAAATACCCTCTGAAGTTTAGTGTTGATTTATGGAAAGTGAGGTCTGTGGGTGGGAAAGGGGGAGGTTGGTGCTCATTCTCATGACTGGACTTTCACCCTACATCTGATTCCGGGAGGAAGAGGTGAGCCTTTCACAGTTTCTCTCCAGACTTGGGAAACAAAAAACTTTTTTGTTTGTTTAACCACCCTTTTTCTTGTTTCCTCTGTCCAGTTCAACTCCTATACACAAATCTATACTGCAGGGTACTCCCAACTCCCTGCTGGGAACTCTGTTAACCCACAACTGTCTGTCTGGGACTGGGATTTACGCTACAGCAGTGAACAGATACTACAATTCCATAACCCTGGCTATGACCCGGAACACTGCCCAGATTCCTGGCTCCCTAGACAGCAGGTGAGGTGTCTTCCTAAGTTCCTCTGACTTTCTCACAGGCTCATTCTACTAGATAGGGAGAAGTAGAAAGACACGGTGTCTTGAGTTCCCCAGGGAAAGCTGCCCCACACTTCTGTAGCTGTCACTTAGAGTCTCTGACTGTCCCCAGGAAGGCAGAAATCCTAGAATAGCACAGAGGATTGTCCTCATCTTTATTAGTTTTTCTATCTCTTACATTTTTTTTTAAGATTTATTACTTATTTTAGAGAAAGAGAGCATGTGAATGTCAGTTTGGGGGGGGGCATAGAGAATCTCAAGCTGACCCCCATTGAGCGAGCGCAGAGCCCGTTGTCGGTCTGGATCTCATAACCCTGAGATCATGACCTGAGCTGAAATCAAGAGTTGGATGCTTAACTGACTGAGCCACCTAGGCAACCCCTTTCTTACACACATTTTATAAGTTTCCCTAAAATTGACTTTAATCAGACCTGAGGCCTAGTTTGAAGCCTAATGAGGAGTACAGAAAGAGTTCTCAGGGGGAGTCCTGTAGTTTGATCACTAATACAGTGTGAGTAGATGGCAGGTAGACATGGCTTCCTGACCCAGTTTGGTGTAAGTGGGGTCATCTGGTTTCTAGGTTGCCAGTTGATTTCTCTTTTCCCTTTAGCCAAACTTCATGGTTTCTGGACCCCCCAGTTCTGTGTGGCTCTTCTCCAGAGGGGCTCTGACCCCCCTGAATCAGCTCTGTCCTTGGCGGGACAGTCCCTCCCTGCTGGCAGTCTCTTCTCGTTGGCTCCCTCGACCTGCTATCTCCTCTGAAAGCCTGGCTGATCAGGAGTGGGGACTCCCCTCACACTGGGGAGCTTGCCCTTTACCCCCAGGGTTGCTGCTGCCTGGGTATCTGGGACCCCAGATCAGGCTGTGGAGACGCTGCTACCTGAGGGGAAGGCCTGAGGTCCAGGTAAGGAGGGAAGACAGGGCTAGGGATTGGGAGTGGGAGAAGGGGCTTGACTGCTAAGCCAAATGTTCTGGGAGAAACCAGATGTTTTTAGGAGCTGGAAAAGCAAGGGTCTGGGGGGATTGAGGAGTGAAGTACCATTCCTGTTGGTATCAGAGTGGATAGGCTTGGGAGTGTGTATGTATGGGAAAGACTGCTTGTGGTTCTTATCAAGTAGAACCTAGGGCATAGTTGGAGGGGAAAAGAGAATTAAAGATGCCAGAGGTGATGGGAACTAGACTTACCATGGGGATCACTTTGTAAGGTATACAAAGATCACCTTTTTTGTATAAAATTGTATAAAAGTATAATTTTATAAAATTTTATAGAAGTATAAAAAAGCACTAGGATGTGCACCCGAAACAGGATATTGCATGTCAATTATAATAGTAATAATAATTTAAAAAGATACCAGGAGTAACGGACAGATCTCAGAAACAGGGAGCTAGAGCTGTAATAATATTCCTCTCTGCCTTTCTTCACCCCCTCCCCAGAAAGGCCTCTCAGCTCCCACAATCTCTGGCCTCCAGGATGAGCTATCCCATCTTCAGGAGCTTTTAAGGAAATGGACACCAAGAATATCTCCTGAGGATCATTCCGAGAAAAGAGATCCAAATACCATTGTCTCCCAATCCCGTTGAAATCGCTTTTTTATGGGCACGGCAGAGGGTGATCTGGGGTGAGGGAGGGTTCTTTTTAATCTTCCAATTTTTCTTATCTGTTCTTGCTGTCTCAGCTTTTGACACTCCAGCCCTCAACAAGCTCACTGACCTGGCTTTCCGTTGCAGATGGGTGGCGCTAACCTCCCAACAAGAGTTGCCCTGTCCTGTTTCGTTCTTCCAGATAGGTTTCTTAGGATTTCAGGAATTAAGAAACAAAAGCAATCCAGAATACGATTACCTTTGTTTTTTTTCAGGGCAATTCTATCCCTTTGGATATCCAGCTGTTAAAATTGTGAGATGAGAGATGCTGTTCATCAGTTCTAACAAGATGGCCTACAGAACTCATTCTCACCTCCTCTTGCTGCTTCTGTAATTCCAATTTCTGTTTCTTCCCTTTAGTTTTCTATGGGTATGCAGTGGGTATGGGAGGCACCCTGTCTCTGCCAATTGTATATTTTGTAGTAACATTTCTATTTAAGGAGTTCATTAAAAACAGTATTTATACACGGTGCTGGCATTACCTCTTGTGTCTGAATAAAAAATCCTAGGTAAGAAATTGATGGATATGAACCGGAAGAGGATGGGACCCATTTTATTGTAAAGGAAATATGGGGATAGGTCAGACGAAGTCCAACTGCAACTTTTTAGAGAAGACGGGGCGAAGAACATACCAAGACATTGTCGCTGGGCCCGGGGTGTTCTGGCGGTTGAAACTGAGGCCCCTGGACTCCAATGTCAACCACCCCTCAGCTTTGGTCACACTTCATGTCTGGGCCGCAGGTTTCCATCACCCCCCCATGCAATAGGACTAGGTGAGCTCGAACGTCACCCCAGCTCAGACGTTCCGCAAACCTCTCCCCTGAGGAAAAACGAAACGCCTCAAGCCCAGGGTGGGGCCGAAGCCGCCGCTGCCCAAAGGCGCGGGCCAGGGTGGACGGCTCCCTCCGTGACCTAAGACAGCCGAATCCTTAGGATGTGGGGGGTAGGCTTCCTCAGCACACCTTATTCGGGGAACAAAAGAAGGATCGTTTGCCAACAAAATATTTTTTAAAAAGTCAAGTTTTGTTCTTTTGGCCTCCGAATTTACATTTTTGAGAGCACTGCGATCCTTTAACGCCTAGCACTGCCTTAAGAAGGTCTGGGAATTTCCATTCCGCCTTCCTCGTTTTGACCCCTCGCAACGGCAACTCCGCACAGGACCAAGCGCCGGAAAAACAGGTTCCACGAGTCGCGTCTTCTCCACAGTTTCTAAGATGGCCGCGGCCACTTCCGGCTCCTCCCCCGCCACGGGCCCGCCCACCACCCTCACGACAGCCTTCGCCCCGGAAGTGGAAGTAGTGACTGCGGTCAGAGGGCGGGATCGCTGCCTGGAGACGGCGGGAGCTCTTTCGCCATGGCGGCCGGGCCGATCTCCGAGCGGAACCAGGGTGATTGGAGGGGGAACCCGGAATGGGCCCAGGGGAGCTGGGAGGCCTCGACTAGGGCCAGCAGTGTTTTCGCCGGGTCTGGAGATCGGATTCCCCCGGAGGGCGGGAGACCGGCTCCCGTGCCTGCTGGGGGCGGGGTGGCCGGGTGCAGGCTGAGGCCCGTAGGTGTGATGCTCTGCCCAATCCCCTCTGGCTTCTCATTCAGAAAAAAAAAAAAAAAAAAAACCACAAACGAACAAACAAAAACCAGAAACAAAGCAATTGACGGAGAATTTGCAGCAGAACCTTCGGTTAGACTTAAGGTTCTCTAGTTCTGGAATGAAGGAGGTGTAAGGGCTTTAATCTAACTTTCTTTTTTTTCTCTTTTGCTCGTATACCCCATCTCCACTCCCCATTTCCCCGCCCGTCACCTCCTTGTTTCCTGTCATTATCTCATCCCTGCCCTAATCTCCTGCTCCTATCCTCCAGATGCCACTGTCTACGTCGGGGGCCTGGACGAGAAGGTTAGCGAACCATTGCTGTGGGAGCTATTTCTCCAGGCAGGGCCAGTAGTCAACACCCACATGCCAAAGGATAGAGTCACAGGTCAGCACCAAGGTGAGTGTATGACAAGAGGTGTGTTTACGTACTGGTGGGACAAACTGTGCCTGGAGGATTCCAGAAGTTTTCTTAGCTGTTTGGAATGAATCACCTGCAGGTTCTTCCTTTTAAGTGTAGCTCACAGTTTGCTTCTGGAACCATTCTCAGTTGAAGTGAGGTTGTTATTTCATGTTCTTTGTGTTTTGGAAGGTGAATGAGTTATACCCCATTTTGAATCACTTAAGTTGTTAATCTCCACTCTTCTGCTTCCCAGGCTATGGCTTTGTGGAATTCTTGAGTGAGGAAGATGCTGACTATGCCATTAAGATCATGAACATGATCAAACTCTATGGGAAACCAATACGGGTGAACAAAGCATCAGCTCACAACAAGAACCTGGACGTGGGGGCCAATATTTTCATTGGCAATCTAGACCCGGAGATTGATGAGAAGCTGCTTTATGATACTTTCAGCGCCTTTGGGGTCATCTTACAAACCCCGAAGATTATGCGGGACCCTGACACAGGCAACTCCAAAGGTTATGCCTTTATTAATTTCGCTTCCTTTGATGCTTCGGATGCAGCTATTGAGGCCATGAATGGGCAGTATCTCTGTAACCGCCCTATCACTGTGTCCTATGCCTTCAAGAAGGACTCCAAGGGTGAGCGCCATGGCTCAGCAGCTGAACGCCTTCTGGCAGCCCAGAACCCACTCTCCCAGGCCGATCGCCCTCATCAGCTGTTTGCAGATGCACCTCCTCCACCCTCAGCCCCCAATCCTGTGGTATCATCATTGGGGTCCGGGCTTCCTCCACCAGGTAAAGCTTCTATTCAAAATATTTTTGTCTTGGGTTTGGGGTGTGGTGGGGGTGGGGCAGGAGGAAGGAAAAAGAACTGGATAAAGCGGGACATGGAGTCAGTAGGTGATGAGAAAAGGAGTGAGGTGCAACAGTTGTGGTGGGGATGAAAGTTGTTGACTTGAGGAGGCTGAAGTTGTTCAGAGTTGTCTAGTATTGCTTCTGACTTTAGAGAGCCTGGAGGAAGGGAAGGGAGCTTATCCTGCCTGAAGAGGCCAGATTGAACAGGCTCTCTAAAGACGTTCTCTCCTTACTATCATTAACTCTTCTTCCATTTCCTCTATAGGCATGCCTCCTCCTGGGTCCTTCCCACCCCCAGTGCCGCCTCCTGGAGCCCTTCCACCTGGGATACCCCCAGCTATGCCCCCACCACCTATGCCTCCTGGGGCTGGAGGACATGGCCCACCATCAGCAGGAACCCCAGGGGCTGGACATCCTGGACATGGACACTCACATCCTCACCCATTCCCACCGGGTGGGATGCCCCATCCAGGTGGGTGTTCTTTGTTGGGGAAGGGAGGGATGAGCCTGGTGGAGGAGCTCTATTGCCACTTATGGTGTTGCTGTTGTCCCTCAGCAATAATAATAATAGATAGTCCCAGAGCTCTACTTTTCTTCAGACATTAGTTTATAAAAAACACAAAATACTGCTCTCTGTTTACTTTAACAACTACCACCCTGTCTCCATTTCTTATATAAGTTTTTCCAAAGAGTATAACTGTGTTTGCTGTTTTTTCCCTTTAACTTTTACTTCATTTCTCTCCTGACTTCTCCCCCAAAGCAGTAACCTAATTGTCAAATCTAGGGGGCGCTTCCATTCCTTATCTGGTTTGCCCTTTGGTGTACCTGAAACTGGGCATGTCATCCTTCTTGAAAATCTTGTCCCTTGGTTTTTCTGGATTCTTCATCTATATCTGATTCAGTAATCTTAGCCACCTTAATAGGCTTTTTTTCCCCTTCTCCATGTAGCTAGGTTTTTGTATTTGGTTCTCTTTTCTGCATAGTTCCATTACTTGTACACTGATGCCTCCTAGATATGTGTCTCTGGTCCATGACCCTTAATCCTACTGCCTGATGATGGACAGCTCCACTTTTCTGTCCTTCCCTTCAAACCAGTTCTTCCTCTAGTATTCTTTGTTTTCAGATGCTTAATTCAGAAATCTGGGAACTATTTTTAACAACTTGCTATCACCCCACTCTAGATACCAAGTCTTATTAATATTTCTGGCATCGGCCCCTACTGCCAGTGCCCTAGTTCATGCCCCCTCATACTCATTATTTCACACCTAATTTACTGTAGTAATTTTCTAACATTTTGACTCCAGTTTCCATACCTTTGATCCACTTGCACAGAGTAATTTTTCTAAAACACAGTTGTTCACACACCCTAGCTCGAAATTCTTCTGTTGCTCCCTTTTACCTACAGAGTCAAACTTGTCACCATAGCATCTAGGCTTTTCATGATCGGTGTCTGCCAGTTACTCCCATGACTACATGCTGCTCTTTATTTCTGAGTTACTGGTTTTCCCTGAGCATACTATGGTGTTTGATGCCCCTGTGATTTGCACATGCTAATGTTTCCTGCCTGGGGTGTTCTAGTCCACTCTCTTGTCCACTTGAAAAATTCTTACTCATTCTTTAGAATTAGATCTTTACTCAGACAGTGTCTCTGCTACCTTCCCAAATCCTGTCGGTGGAATAATCACTCCATTTGTTAACATACTTCTGCAGCACTGTTATAGCGTCTAAATCACGGAAGGGGCAAGTGAAGTGGGTGAGCAGTTGATTGGGGGGGGCAGTTGATTTATTTGTACCCTTGGAATGGGGTTGAGGATAAAGGCACCCTTTACCAGCCTTATTTTCCGTACTTCTGATGTCACTTCTTTCTCAATTTTGTTCTCTTCTTTTCTCCATTTTCTTTGCTGTCTGTATTCCTTTTGTCTCTTTTCTCTTTGTGTGTGTTTTGTTCTCACAGGGATGTCTCAGATGCAGCTGGCCCACCATGGCCCTCATGGCTTAGGACACCCCCATGCTGGGCCCCCAGGCTCTGGGGGGCAGCCACCACCCCGACCGCCACCCGGAATGCCTCATCCTGGACCTCCTCCGATGGGCATGCCCCCTCGAGGGCCTCCGTTTGGATCTCCCATGGGTAAGTAGGCTCTAGCCACCTTCCTCATCCTCGAGTATCAATAGTCTTGCAGCTTCCTTTGTCACAGCCCCGTCCCTTGCCCTTTCTTTTATTTCCAGTTCTGCTCATGGTCTCCCTGTCGGTGTTCTCCATACATTCGCCCAACATCAGCACTTCCTTTTTCTTGCCTTGACTGACTTTTCTTTTTCTTTGTGCAGGTCACCCAGGTCCAATGCCTCCACATGGGATGCGTGGACCTCCTCCACTGATGCCTCCTCATGGATACACTGGGCCTCCACGACCCCCACCCTATGGCTACCAGCGGGGGCCCCCCCCCCCCCCCCCCGTCCCACCCCCCGGCCTCCAGTTCCCCCTCGTGGCCCACTTCGAGGCCCTCTTCCTCAGTAATTTCTCATTCTCTTGCCTCCTGTTCTATCTTCCCAATATTTTTTCAATTCCTTGGACCAGTCAGAGTTGCTCTAGCTCCCTATGGCTAAGGCACTAATCCCTCTCAGGCCTTTTTTTTTTTTTTCCCCCCTTACG